GGTTGAGGGGTGGGGGGTGTTGAGGGGGGGCGTTTGGGGCCCATTACTCGTCCAGGACAGCTGCGCTGGGAGGGCCGGACTCTGCAGGTGCGCTTGCCAACAAACCGTTGAGGGCGCAGGGTGAGGAGAGCACATGGGCCTTTTCCCACAGCACCTTCCACTCTACCTGCCCTCACCGCCCCCCAAACCCCACCCCAAGACCCCCTGCCCACACCCCCCACCTGAGGGTGTAATCCTCCTTCTTGATGACCAGCCCCGCGGCCTCCATGTCGGCCCACAGCTGCTTGCGCACCGCGAACCTGGAATCGGGTTTCAGGGTTGATCAATGGGCAGGATTGTTTGAATGGGGGAGTGCGTGTCATGCCAGCGCGTTCGTGAGCATATTTGCGTTTGTGTGTGCACATTTGTGTGTGTGTGTGTGTTGTGTGTGTGTGCACAATTGTGTGTGTGTGTGTGTGTGTGTGCGCGCGCGCGTGATGTGACCCAACGCCACCCTCAGCCCGCCCCACGCGCCTGTCCATCCCGGCGTATTGCCCGGCGTTCTCGTTGAGGGACCCGTCCTTGTTCATGATGTTGATGGTCTCCAGCCCGCGCCGCTTGCCGATCTCGTAATCGTTGGGGTCGTGGCCTGGTGAGGTTAGAGGGCGGTTTTGAGGTGGGGAGGGGGCAGTAGCAAGTGGTGAGGGGTGCAGGGCGTTTCAAGTGTGTGTTTTTGTGTGTGGTGGGATGTTCGTGTGTACGGTGGGGTGTTCGTGTGTGTGGTGGGGTACTCGTGTGTGTGGTGGGGTATTTGCAGGGATTTGAAGCGAGAGGAGGTCGTTTGGGCACCAGTAACGAGGCGCCGACGCAGCAGCACGAATTCTCTGTGGGGGCTTGAGGGCGAGCCCCCACTGGGCGGGCGAGCAGCCGCCATTTGCCTGCAGGACCAGCCCCCACGAGCGGCCCCAGCAGCTGCCCATATCCAAGGGGCAGGTTGAGGCATCACCAGGGCACCGCCGACCAGATCCTCTCCTCCACCCCACACACATACAAAAACACACACCACAACACACCCTCACCCCAGACAAACTTAAAACCCCTGACGCACCTGGCGTGATCTTGAGGGCCCCCGTCCCAAACTCCATGTCGACGTACTCGTCCGCAATGACCCTGATGGTGCGGCCCGTCATGGGCACGGTCAGCTCCCGCCCCACGTACTGCCGGTACCGCTCATCCTCGGGGTGGACTGGGGGGGGGAGAGGGGAGAGGGGAGGGGAGGCAGGGGGTGACAGGGGGCGGTGGATGGTGGAGGAGGGGGAAGCAATGTGAGGTCTTCCAGGGGGAAAACGGGTGTTGGGGGAAAATGCGGACTAAGAAGGAGTGCGAGGGGTTGATGAAATGAGCGGATGGGGACGAATGGAGTCGAGAGCGGCAGCATCGATGGGGGCTCTGCATCGCTCAGCAGCCTGGGAAGATGAGGGCAGAGCGCGAAGGGCAGAGGGCGCAGCAGAGCCGCGGGTGGCACGGGGCGGTGCGGACTGTCGGGCTCCTTCAGGGCAGCAAGCGCGCGGCATGCGGGGGTGGTAGTGAGAACTCAACTCGCGTGGTGCGGACGGCCGTCAACTGCATCGTTCGTGGACCCGTACTAAGGTGTGCTTAGAACGCTTCCAGCGCACATGCTCACGCACACGCGCATGCGCACGCTCGTCAGCCAGCTGTACATCCCGCCAACGCCCGCCCCAGTGCAAGGAGCCCACACCTGCGACAGCCGTGTCTCCGAGGATCGTCTCGGGGCGCGTGGTGGCCACGGGCAGGAACTCCCCCGGGGCGTCGGCTACCGGGTACCTGCCGAGGGGGGTTTTTCAGGAAAAGGGGTCGGAACAGGGGCAGGAGGCACGACCCTGGGGATAGGGCTGCAAGAGGACAAGTGCTGGGGGTGGCAGCAGCATCCCCAGAGCCGCCTGTAGGATGCATCAACATGGGGATGAGGGCGACAACACGGGGTTGAGGCAGGGGGAAGGGGAGGTGGTTGCCTCGCCGATGCGGCACGATGGGTGCGAGAGCTGAAGAAGACGCATGCGCGCGACAACAAGTGTGGCCTCAGGGTTCTGGTAGGTTGTCAGCCGCGGGCGCAGCCCTCAGCTTCGGAAAAAGGATTGTGTGAACGATCATCACCGGCCAATGGGGCGGCCGCTCTAAACGAACTGCACCATTCACTCTGACACACACACACACACGCACACACACACACACACACAGATACACACACGGCTCTGTGCGCGCACGCACACATACACACAAACATACAACACGCACACATGCACACATACACACACACACAGAATTCTTCCATGCGCACGCACGCGCACAATGGGTGCGGAAGAGCCCAGGGCATCTGAAGATGCATGCGCGCGACACAAGTGTGGCCTCAGGGTTCTGGTAGGTTGTCAGCCGCGGGCGTAGCCCTCAGCTTCGGAAAAAGGATTGTTTGAACAGGTATCACCGGCCAATGGGGCGGCCGCTCTCAAGGAACTGCATTACTCACCCTCACACACACTCACATAAACACACACGGCTCGGCGTGCACACGCACGCATGCATACACGCACGCACACACACATACACACACACACTTACATACACTGCACACACGTACACATGCACACACACATACACAGCTCCCTGCGCACGCACGCGCACACGCACATGCACATGCACATAACCGCACACGTGCACGCACACACGCACTCACATGCATGCGTACACACACACACAGCCACAGCCAGATCACCTGAAGTAGTACAGGAACCCCGGCTCCTCGCTGTACTCCACCTCCAGATCACTCACAGCGGTGCCCAGCTTGGGGGACCAGTTGACCATGTAAGCCCCCCTGGGGGATGACGCGTGAACAGGGGGTATTCGGAGGGTCGTGAGCACGGGAGGGGCGAAGAAGGGTGTGTCATGCACGCATGCTTGGTGGGAGGGAGGGATGTTGCTCTGGGAGGGGGAGGAGGTGGCGGCCTCCCAGCTCGCCAGGCCGTCAGTGGGGGTAAAAGAAGCTTTCGACCCGGCTGCACCGACACGCTCATCCCCTCTGCCTCCCTGTTTCCCCCCCTCCCCAGCAGAGCAGGCGGAAACAGGGCGGCCCCGAAACCGCCAGCCCGTGGCGCCAGCCCGGCGCTCCATGCGCCCCTTGATCACACGCCACC